CACATTCCACCTTTATCTGAAGAAGTGAGCAATGATTCGAAGAAGAGGAGGAGGAGGAGGAGGAGATTGGATTTATGCCCCACCCTTCACTTGGAGTCTCAGAGCACTTTACAAACTCCTTTCCCTTCCCCTCCCCACAACAGACACCCTGTGAAATAGGTGGGGCTGAGAGAGCTTTGACAGAAACTGCTCTTTTTCAAGAACAGCTCTTATCAGAACTACGGCTTACCCAAGGTCATCCAGCCAGGTGCAAGTGGAGGAGTGGGGAATCAAACCCGGTTCTCCCAGATTAGAGTCTGCGCGCTTAACCACTACACCAAACTGGCTCGTCCCCTGCCACAAATTGTTAATTTTGAAGGTGCTACTGGACTCTTTCTCTTTGCTGCTGCGACAGACAGACTAACACAGCTACCCATCTTGCTCTGTCTCCGTGGAAGGCCCCACATTTAGCCATACAGAATGGAAATCCATCAACCTTGGGAAGAGACCTGCACAGGCACAGACAGACATTACCATATGCAGTTGCTATTGGGAAAGGACATTTGGGTGACTCTCTCCCTGCTGAAGGTTTCAGGGTCCTCAAGCAGAACCTACTACCTCCCCCCCCCCCCATTTAGGTTTTCAAGTAGTACCTCCCACACCCACATAGGTTTGGGTCCGGAGGGGAAGACCAGCTGACCGATTCACAGATGTAGAGGGATGTTACTGTGCAAAATAACAAACGACCACTTAAGACAGCCACCCAATGCTTGTTGAATTGAAAACCTCCCCGTTTCTTTTGTCCCGTGTGGGTCATCTACGTAAGATTTATTCACGTGTCGTTCCAGAATGAGCTGGACCTCCACGTTATTATAGAAAGGGGTGAAGGTTTTACAGTTCAGGCGTTTGCAAGAAATGAGCTGTTGTGGATTTTCCAGGTTGTATGGCCGTGGTCTTGGCATTGTAGGACCTGATGTTTCGCCAGCAGCCGCTGGCGAAACGTCAGGTCCTACAATGCCAAGACCACGGCCATACAACCCGGAAAATCTACAACAGCTAACGAACTCCAGCCGTGAAAGCCTTCGACAACGTATTTGCTAGAAAGCTTTCCTGCGGGTTCTTTGTCAACAGTTGTCAGCCTTTGCAGGACTCTGCGTCCTGATCCTCGGAATACACACCTAATGTGGTGCAAATCTGAGCACGTGTGGTGCATTCTGAGGTTTCAGGTATGTTGCCAACCTCCAGGCGGGGCCTGGGGATCTCCCAGAATTGAGCCGATCTCTGGACTACAGAGGAGGAAACTGCTGCTTTGGAGGGTGGTCTGAACAGCATCATATCCTGCCGAGGTCCCACCCCAAACCCTGCTCTCTCCAGGATCTACACCTCCAGGAATGTCCATATCTGGAGATGGCAGCCTTAGAGGTTTTAACTTAACAGGACCAGGTTGTTTTGTTAGTCCTGTAGGAAGACGGTCCCATTCCAAAGATCCAGCAGATCAAAGTTCTCTGCGCAACTCAAAAGCTAGCTACCTTATCCTACTGATTCGGTGGGTTTCAAACAGTGGGATTCAGAACTTCAGTAGCATCTCAGCTTCCTTTTGGGAATTCCTGAGCCCCATTTCATTTTTAGGGCCGCGGTGGTTCGGAGGTTAAGACGCTGAGCTGCAGACTGGAAGGTCTGTAGTTCGGCAGTTCAAGACCCTAGTGCCACGTGACGGAGTGAGCTCCCGTCTCTGGCCCCAGCTCCTGACAACCTGGCAGTTCAAAAGCAAGGAATTGCAAGTAGATAAATAGGTACCGCTTTGGTGGGAAAGTAACAGCGTTCCGTGTGCCTCGGCGTTTAGTCATGCCGACCACATGACCTTGGAAATGTCTTAGGACAGTGCTGGCTCTTCGGCTTGGCGACGGAGATGAGCACTGCCCCCTACAGTCGGATTTGACTAGCTTTCGAGCAAGGGAAACCTTTACCTTTATCTTATTTCATTTTTAGTTTTGTCCCCATGCAAATCAAACCTATGTTAGATCCAGACAAAAATTTCCAATGGCAGAATGGAACTTCCCTGCCTCCCCTTCCTCCTGCAGCTCATTGACTTCCCCAAAAGGCTGCTTCTGGGGGATAGGACATCCCAAGCAATGACAGGAGGGGGATCCGCAGGGGGATGGGGGATCCTTGGAAATTGCCAATCTAGACTGGATAAAGGTAAAGGTTCCCTTGCTCGAAAGCCAGTCGAGTCCGACTCCAGGGTTGCGGTGCTCATCTCCGTTTCAAAGCCGAAGAGCCAGCGCTGTCCGAAGACGTTTCCGTGGTCATGTGGCCGGCGTAACTAAACACCAAGGCGCACGGAACGCTGTGACCTTCCCACCGAAGTGGTACCTATTTATCTACTTGCAATTTCTTGCTTTCGAGCTGCTAGGTTGGCAGGAGCTGGAACTAGAGACGGGAGCTCACTCCGTCATGCGGCAACTCAGTCGAACTGCTGAACTACTGACCTTCCACAGCCTGCAGTTCAGCGTCTTAACCACTTGAGCCACCGCAGCTCCCTTAGACTGGATGCAACCCTTTATTTTTTACACCATTTCCAGTTTTTTTCACATCAAATATCTTCCATTAAATGTCTCCATTTTTCACCAGTATAATTGCATCAATTGCATACTGATGGGATTTAATGCACCCATGGCATAAGGTAACATTTGAATCCTGGAAAAGCAAGAAAACCAACTGGAAGCATCGACAAATAAAAATGTGCAAAATGAAAAGGTTCCAGTGATGATGACACGTGGAAAGAAAAATGAATGAAAAAGATCACTGGGAATCTAGAGTGACGTTAATCATGGGGCGGGGGGAGATTAGCTTTCTTTGTCATTCAATGGTCATTCAGAATTCTAGCTGCAATGCCTGAGGGTGCATTCAGACAACCATTTTCTCCCTAATAGAGTTTGATTTCTGCTGTGGGAATGAGGGGGATTTGGGTTATCTGAAGGTTAGTCCCCCGCCCCCCGCCGGGCTCTTTTTGTAGCAGGAACTCCTTTGCATATTAGGCCACACACCCCTAATGTAGCCAAATCTCCAAGAGCTTACAGAGCTCTTCTTACAGGAGCTACTGTAAGCTCTTGGAGGATTGGCTACATTAGGGGTGTGTGGCCTAATATGCAAATGAGTACCTGGTACAAAAAGAGCCCCCACTGGTGGTGAGACGAGCTAGATTTTCTTTTTTGCTGGCTGAATTCATTAGTCAATCATGCCTTAGATGCTTGTCAGACAACCTAGCATTGCTTGACTACGGCGGCGCTCAACATGCGTGGGTGGGGGGGAAACTAGGGCCCAAATAACTGTTTCGTGGCAGTGAGAATGAAAGGCGAACACATGGGAGCCGCGGGGTTACTTTGCGTACAAGCAACCCTGTTGACATCGTTGTTCCAATGCACTTCCCACTTTTCGCACATTTGCGAACGAGGATTCGGTCGCACAGCGCACCGTGATGGAGCGGCCACTTTGCCATAAACGCGTGACCCACGTTCCTTCGGTACTCGCATTCTCACTGCCGAGAAAGGTCACTGCCCCCGAACGGGGCAGAATCCCCCCTTGACTGTGCTGTTATCTCTGTGTGTTTTTCCTCGTTTTGACCAGTAATTTCAAATTCCATTCGATCTGCACAGATTTCAGTAATTTGCCTGATAGCAACACTTTTCGGTTTTGACCACGTGGCCGCTATGAAATCTCTCAGGACGCTGAGAGCCCTGAGGCCCCTCCGAGCCTTATCCCGATTTGAGAGCATAAGGGTAAGGGTTGTCTTTCAGTGTCTATGGAGTGTGGCTTGCCCCTGAAGTAACGAAACCCTCTCTCTTTTTCTTGCAGCATATATGCCCTCAAGCCTTTCCTTATGGTGGCACATGGTGGTCTCCGTGGCTAGCCGTCATCGGTCCAGTTAGCCTTTCTTCGTAGTCCTTCAGAATGGACCCGCACAAACTGTGATTCGCCAAGCCAAGCAAAGCTCACCAGCTATGTATTGCTTCAGAGGATAGCCATGTTGGTCTGCAGTAGAACATCTTGGGTTCGAGTCCAGTCGCACCTCGGAGACCAATGGGATTTTCAGGGTAGAAGCTTTTGAGAGTCAAAGGTCCCTTCCGGTATTGGACAAAGGGAGCTTTGACTCTTGAAAACTTCTGTCCCGAGAATTTTGTTGGTCTCTACGGTGCTACCGGACTCGAGTTCAGCTGCTCTTAAACTTACTGGGGTGTGCAAAAACAGGATGTATGTGTGTGTGTGACAAGCACCTGGCAGGTCTCAATACATGGCTAGTTATCTGTGTCTGGCTTGGTGGGCCACCAGTTGTGCAGGCCCATTTCAGAAGGACGACCATAGTAAACATATCCAATGACAGTGTGTCTGCGAGGGGAACAGGATATTGTGGAAATACATTTTGAGTGACAATTTAGTTGGCATTGGCAACGCTCTAAAAAAAGGGTCATAATAAACGGTTGGATCTTGCAAAACCTACGAGCGATCCATCTCGAGAGCACAAAATTACAGTGTTCGCATAATTTAATAAGGGGAGAAGCACCCACGTCTCTGCTGCTTCTGTTCAGTTGCAAAAAGAGAGAGAAAGAGAGAGAGAAAAACCCTAAGTCATTAACAGACAGACTTTTCTTTTCCTTTACTGCCTGTCAGAGCCTTTTGATGCCTGTCAGAGCGCCATGTGGTCACCTTGAGGAAAGAAGACAACAGAACATGGTGAAGATACCAGCCAGGGAGCGCGCATTGGTTAATGATTTCTACATCTCGTGGCGCCATCTTGAATATGGAAATCAATGGTTCTATGTCCCAAACTGTTTCTGGGGAAAAGATTTTTATATGCCTGCATGCTGAATTAATAATATCACTTCCTCCCACCATTTAGGTTCTTCCTTCATCTATTCATTAACCAGATTTCTCTTTCCAGGCAAGAAAGCCAGAGAAGAAAAGCCCACTGGTTGGATTTGTGCTAATAGTTTGGACTTCTCCTCTTTTGTGTCTCCATTCAGGTGTCATTAGTAAGCCTCATAGCTAGTACACTTGGATACTCGGAAATGGGTCCCATTAAATCCCTTAGGACCCTCAGAGCTCTGAGACCCTTAAGAGCACTGTCACGATTTGAAGGGATGAGGGTAAGATTCAATTTGAAAAACCCCCACAAGACCCATCATCAAAGCCCACCTGTCTATGAACAGCATGTGATGAAGGCCATTGTTTGTTTGTTTGTTTGTTCGTTCATTCATTCATCTGTTATAATTTTGTCGTCATTGTCATTTTCATCCCAGGCTGCAAGTGAAACAGTTGACAATGTTGAGTGTTGCAAAAGCAAGATATCCTCACCCTCCTCCTCTCCCCAACAAAAATTGTCTTCGTTTTAGCATGGACTGACGCCCATGGACTGACTCCCTGGTGGAATTTGTTCAAAGCTACTCCCGCTGCATGCCTTGTCTTGCAGCGGTTTTCAAGCTGATTTCAGGTGGAGGTGACATCTGTCAGACAATTGTCCCTCGTTTACGAAGTGCATCAAGAGAAATCTGCCAAGCTCCCTGGCTTCAAATAGGGCCGCAATCCGAGATGAAGGGAACAAGGCCGTTTTGGGATGGGGGGGAGAGGCGCCTTCACACCCGGGCCAGCCGCAAAAGTCTCGTTCTGTGTAGCAGAACTGGAGCTTCCCTTTTCCTGCCCTGTTCTTCTTCTTCATTAGTGTTTTCATGACAGAAGTCGTAAGTCGTGAAACATCACATGCTAAAAAGGAAGCCTATGTTTGCTACCTGAGTTACAGTGGGATTGTACTACAGCCACCCAGAATTTAGCCACACACAAAGTTACCTGTTTGTCTTCATCTCTTAGTAACGAAGAAGACTTAGCTTCTAGAGAGATAGAGTCCTTCTTTAAGCAAGGGGGGAAAACCAATCCAGTGCTCCAATCTGAAAATTCGGGGGCAATCCGAAAGAATATGATCCGTTCAGTAAATTCAGTTAATACCACAAACAGAGGATGTTCCGTGTGTGTAGTGTAGCCAGGAGATCCTACAATTGTCTGGCAGCCAGTTCTAGCTCTAGCTCACCATTTAGTGGTGCATAACGCAAAGATGGCTGCCAGATGATCGCTAGATCTCCTGGCTATTCTACACACAAGGTTATACAATAATTACTACCGTAATTATTAGTTAGTACCACATCTGTAGAATCAGTTAGAGTGTGGAATACCATCAAGCCTTCTTAACAACATCGTCAATGACAATATGGCCTGTTCCTTTGTAATTAGTTAACAATAAACCCTTTTAATATGTTTAGTGTATACACATTCAGTTCTGGTTACAACACGCCTTATACCGAATCGGACCATCAGTCCATCCGGATCCGTATTGGCTGCTCAGACTGGCGGCAGCTTTCCAGGGTCTCAGGCAGAAGTCATTCACGTCACCTACTAGGGTTGCCAAGTCCATCTTCCACCCCCAGCGGGGGACTTAGGGGGCGTTCCTGGAGGGAGTGGGGCATCCCCAACGTGATGATGTCACGTTGGGGATGTCTGCCGCCCCACCCACCCGCCTGTGCGCTGGATCTCCAGAAACGGCAGTTCCCTGCACTTAAAGTAGCCAGCAGCCGGCGTTTCCCCTTTAAGAGCAGCTGCGTTTCCCTTTTAAGAACGAAGCTGGCATTTCCCTGCAAGCTTGCGGAGTTCGCGCTTGGGATGAAACACGGGTTGCACACACTTAAAGGGAGAGAGATGGGTGGCTGTGGGTACTGGGGGTGGGGCTTCCCCCGCCGGCCATCTGGCCGGTGGCGGGTAGAACCCCCCCAAAACGGGGGACCCCTGGCAAACCGGGGGGGTTGGCAACCCTATCACCTACAGCCTGTTCCTTTTCAACCGGAGATGCCAGGGATTGAACCTGGGACTGTCTGTGTGCAAAGCAGATGCTCTGCCACTCAGCCACCCCTTCTCAGTGTCCACATGCACTCGGTGGCTTGGATCCTCAGCGGTGCAAGCCAAGTCATGCCTCAACAGGGCAACTTTCCCCACATCAGCTTTCTGTGACTCTTGAAACTGTGCAACTGAGGGGCCAGTGAATTTCCTGGGACAGTCTGAGGAGAGAAAGGGGGAGTGCGCAGTCAGAACTGGCAAAAACAGCCCTCACCTCCTTTGCAAAGGGAAATGCCATTCTGTCAGAATTGCTGCTGTAGCAGTGATGAAATGGCACTTTAGGAACCCCGTCCTAAGGGTCCTGGCCCCTGGGAACATTCACACAAGACACCATATGGGTGTCGTCAGGGGTCATTTCCTGCAGGAGCGCACAGGAGCGGAGCTCCGGCAGTAAAGAGCCCAGGGGGTGGGCACATGCAACAAGCCCCACCCCCTGTTCCCAGCAGCCCTCAGTCAGAGCAAGAAGCAGCCAGGTAAGTTGCAGAGCTCCCCCCGGCCCCCCGGTCCAAAACAATCCAGTGGCACCTTTAAGACCAAGTATTTATTCAGGTACAAGCTCTCCCTCCTCTGCGAGATCTGCACATTCCCCCCCCCCCAATAGCTAGCAATCCAAAACAGTCCAGTGGAGCCTGAGCGGTGGGTGTTGCCTTCTGACACACTTCTGGTGATGTCAGGGGGTGTGGCATATGCAAATAAGTTATGCTAATGAGCTCCTGCACCTCTTTTTCTACAAAATGACCCCTGGTGTCATGCATAAATGTACAGATGTACAACTTGGTGGGTGAAAATCCCCGTATAAAGATAAGATGTTGTTTAGATTCAGGTGATTTTGAACCCATGTGAAAAATGATGTATATGCCTTGGGTTACTTTTTCGTGGTCTCCGTGTATCACGAATGATTGGCTTCGATTCTGAAAGTTCGGCACTGGAATTTAGGCCAAAAGTCCTCTCCCTCTCTGAGAGGCGGATTAGACCGCACATGCTCGAAGGGAAGAAGTCCTGCTGTGCTACTAAATTCCTTCCAAATTTAAAGGTGCACTATGTGATGTTCTCTTGTGTAGATCAGAACTTGCGTACTCCCTCACTTTCCTGCTCTCAGGTTCATACAATGTAGGTGCAGATGTTCAAAACAACATCCGTTTATTAAGCAGGAGATACAGGGATGGGGGTATCTGGTTTTAGAACATCTGTTTTAGAACAATATCTGTTTTGGGAAAGATGGGAGGGTCAAAAGAACAGGTGGCCACTGGAAGACCAGTAGTTACACATCAGCAACCTGTTCGTGTCACGGCAGAAATCTTGCCTTATTGTATCCTCACACCAAATTTGTGAGGTAAAGGAGGTTGAGAACTTGCCACAAGCAAAGGCGATCTGCTGAGTATCATTTGGAATCTGGTTCCGCCTGTTCCAGACTCCGCCTGCAGTGTTCTTAGCTTCAGTTATTCTGTCAGATTGGCACCCTGCTCTTCACAGAAAACGAAACAAAGGGGTAAATCAAGAATTACACAGATATAAATGCCTACCAATCATTAATACAGCAGGCTAAAATCATCCAGACATTTGCAAGACCCAGTTTAAAAATACAGATTGTGAAATCCTAGTGCTTATTTAACCAGCTTAATGGATGCAGGGCCAAACGAGACATTACTTTTTTGGCGAGTTGTATCTGGGTTTCGGTGACCCGACTGATGTTCCCTGCAGTTACACAGAAGCTACAGGGATTATCGATTTAAAGATCAGAGGGAGTGCTTTTCTGCTTGGAACTGTGGCATGGGTGGGGGGGAGACTTCTACCTCCTCCCCAGACCATTTTTAGAAGCTGAAACAGCCCCCAGCAGGGAGTTACTTACATAACTTTGGAACAGCTCCCTCTGATCTTCAAAATGACATTCACTGTAGCTACTGTATGATTGCAGGGAAGATGAGTTCAGTTGGAGAAACCCAGATACAACCCGCCCAATAACACCTAATTTGGCCCCCAGAATAAAATAATTCAACTTGAGTCTGCAAAGTCTGAGCCTTTGGGAGCCTCTGTTTTGAACAGAGGATCCAGGGGTTTTCTTGTTTGTTTCCTATCTTTCCGGGGGCTTCTCAATGCTTGTCCCCAGAATGGCCCTTGAATATGATTCAGGGTTCAGAGTTGGCTGCAGATTCACACATTCCCTTTCCCCGGTCCCTCCCCTCTCTTGCATAAATCCCCCCCCCAACCTTTGCATACAATCTGTACACTGGCTCTAAGGGCCTAGCTAGGCAGATGCTCCAAAAAGCTATGATGGATCTTCTTGGTGTGCAGGGGTCCACATGGGGGAGGGAAGGAGAGGACAACCCTGCATAGTTTCACTAATCAGAACCGACTCCCCTCCCCCTTGTCCCCACCATGCCATTATTAGCCTTGCAGGGGGGGGGATTGTCATATTTTCTTCTTTCTGGGATAATAACCAGGACTGCCAAGCAAGGCTCCCTCTAAGCTGTGGAGTCCTGTGAGCAAAAATTCTACTTGGTGAGCTACCGGCATTAAAGTTGTGAGGGAGCGATTGGGCTACTGCATACCTTACTTTGCTCTGGAGCCATCCCTTCCTGAGTGAAAACAATGTGTGAGCTGGAGACTAAAAAACTGTGAGCTAGCTCACACGAACTCAGCTTAGAGGGAACACTGCTGCCAAGCCCCCGGTCATTGCAGGGGATCCCCCACCTCAAGTTCCTTTTGCCCACCACTGCTTAGAGAGGTGGCAGGGGGTAAATTAATTTTAAAAATATATATCAACACTCACTGGCGTTGCAAGCATGGTGCCATCACTTCCAGGTACAAAATGGAAGTGACCAAAGGTAGTCTCTGGCTATTCCTAGAGCTACCCGCTGTCCAGGGCTCTTTTTGTAGAAAAAGCCCAGCAGGAACTCATTAGCATATTGGGCCACACCCCTGACAGCACAGCTCATTAGCACATTAGACCGCACCCCCATGTTACCAGAAGTGTTGTCATCCAGCCACACCCACCTTTTGCTTCTTATTCTGTTTACCTTGTTTGTTGTCAAAACCCAGGGCCTTTTTTGTAGCAGGGACTCCTTTGCATGTTAGGCCACACACCCCTAATGTAGCCAATCCTAATGAGTTCCTGCTGTTGGGTGTGGCCTATTATGCTAATTAGTTCCTGCTGGGTGTGGCCAACTCAGGAGCCAGCCGGAACTCCGTTCCTGTGCGTTCCTGCCCC